TCAAAGTGGCAGCATCCCCTCTGGCCAATTCCTACATTTAAAAACAAAGAAAATAAACCACAAAGAAACTGGGAAACAACCTCAGTCTGGGAGCTGGGTTTGCATGCTGTCGTTTAATTGTCACACTCCTCTTTCACTTTTTTAAGACATACGAGTCCTGTGGGTGTAGTATACCTGGAGTAACATACACCCCAGAAACCAGGTGATGCACCAAGCCAGCAGTTTGCGATACAGTTTCTGTTCGGTCAGATGGATGTTTTCTAGCAACAGGTGTGTTCTTTGCACAATTACTGCCAGCACTGGCAGCCGTTTTGCCTTGTAATTGCTTCTGAAATATGAAAAAACAACAACTGAGAGCATCATTTACCCTCTCTTTATCTTCTGCACATCTTCAGCGGACACAAACTTTGGCCGCCTGCAGACCGGTCTTCGAGTTTTAGAAGAGATGTTTGTCTGGGTCATCTCTTAAGGAGAAAAGAGAAGGAAAAAAGACATGAATACGTCTACAAGATGGGGTCATTAATTAAGGACAAGTGCATATTCATTGTCAATTCTATCTACTGAAGAATAGTTGCAGAAAGCCTGTGTAAGCTGCTTCCCCTTCCTGTAACTGTTAGTTAAGCTGTGCCTATCTTGCTTGTTTCCTTAAATCATTCATGCTCTTTAAATGTTGCTCCAGCAGCACAATTTTTCATTTTTACAATCCACAGCATCAATTCACTTTACTTGAGGTTTACTATGACTTTATGCAAAGACTACGAATCTTTTTATTTCTGGTCTAATATGAGTCTGGATGGTGTCAAGGAATAAGGGGGAAGGTTACTTTTGTAAGGAGTTTCCTCTGGGCCATCACTTCCTCTTCCAGTGAGTAAATCTGGTAGTGTTAGTAAAAGAAGTTAAGAGCTTCTAAAAGCTGACAGAGCTTGCAAGTTAGTCTTTGTAAAGCACTGCGTAGTTGTAAATGAGAACCTTTAAAATGAGTACCTTTAAAATTGAGTTCATAACTGTAGAAGCCAGCCTGGAAGGGTACGATGGCATCTGGATCCGCCAGATATAAATTCTCAATAACAGCAGAAGATGGTGACTTCGTACTATTCCCTTCTCCCTTTGTGGGGGGAATAAAAAAAAAAAAAAAAAAAAAACACAATCAAGGCTAAACCCTTGATAACTAGTCTGGGTGGAGGGAAAGAACTACCTAATCAGAACTATCATGGCCTAAAGTGCGATTACCAAACACTCCTAACACACACACACAAATACATAATTAGTAATGATGGGCACATGTATCCCATTGAAATTTCTGTAACAAGTTCTGCTGGTTTTGACTGGGATACAGTTAATTTTTTCCCATATTAGATTGTATGGGACTCTATTTTGGATTTGCGCTGGGCACAGCGTTGGTAACACGGGGATGTTTTGGTTGGGCAGCGCTTACACAGAGCCAAGGCCTTTTCTGCTCCTCGCAGCACCCGCCAGCGAGTGGCTGGGGGGGCACAAGTAGCTGGGAGGGGACCCAGCCGGGACACCGACCCCAACTGAGCCCAGGGACATCCCAGCCCACAGGACACTGAGCTCAGCACGTAAAGCTGGGGGAAGGAGGAGGAAGGGGGGATGTTGGGAGCGATGGCGTTTGCTGCCCGAGTCACCGTTACGCGTGACGGAGCCCTGCTGTCCTGGGGATGGCCGAGCGCCTGCCTGCGAGGGGCAGTGGGGGATGGATCCCTGAGTGGGCTTTGCTTGGGCGTGCAGCTTTTGCTTTACTGATTAAACTGTCTTTTTCTCAACCCATGATTTTTCTGATCCTTCCAATTCTCTCCCCCATCCCACCGTGGGAGGCCTGAGTGAGGGCTGGGTGGGGCAGAGCTGCTGGCCGGGTGTGAGGGATGCACTCGACTCCCTGACCAAACTAGATGGTAGGTGGGTTCAGGCTCCAAAGGAAGTAAAGGCCTAGGCCATGTCCAGCCTGTTCTCTGACAGCCCACAGAGGAACAGGGTGGCATGTGAGCACTGATGCATACGAGCTTGGAAAACTGGAACACCGATCCTGCGATTAACACATGAATAGCTGGTGGTTCTTCCAACACTAATTTGTCAAGAAAGAAAGTTGTGAAGGCATCTCACGCTTACCTTTTCCACCGCATGGAATCTGACTACGAGCCAACCACTTTAGTCCATAAATCTAAGAGCCTGAGAGAGGTTTTTTTGTTTGTGGGTTTTGGGGGTTTTTTTTTGTTTTGTTTTGGGGTTTTTTTTGAGTTCTCCCTGCTGAGGAGCAGGAGGCACAGAGGTGATCTCCCCTTGAGCTGGGACATCTCTCAAGGGTAAGAGACCCCTTATCAACTGCAGACCTTTGGTAAGTAACCAATGCCACACATAACCTTGTGCTATTGGTGTACTAAGATTTTTGTATTGGTAACTTTGAATTTTTATTATTATTACATCCTCTGTGCAGGAACAGAGTGAACCTTGCCATCAGACTTTGTTATATCTCACGTTTACAACATCCTACTTCAATAAAACTACTTTTGCCGTTACTTTTAGTGGTGATTCTTTAAACTGTCACAGGGAAGATTTTAGACTAACTGGCATAGTTGGCAGATTCTATATCTGCTCCGCAACACCGGAGTTAAACCATGACGCAAGTACAATCCTCTAATGCACAAAACAGTGTAAAATATGAGAGTATGCTGAAGGAGATGCTTTCCATTTAAGCTGCATACTGAAATCAAGGCCCACTCTTGTCAGAGCCACTATATCCATCACCATTCCCTGCATACTCTTCCACATCCCTGGGTCACCTTTGTGTTCTGCCACTTGCACAGCTACACCGTAAACCAGACGGGGAAAAGTCAGCTGCCTTAGGGGAAGGAGAAATTTCTTATTTATTTCTTTTCCTGCATTTTTCAAGGAAATCACTCTCTCAAAGAGGACTTGGCCCCCCGAGGAAAAAGGTAACATTTGATCTGAGAGAGCAGAGCAATCCTTGCATGTCCAGGGAAGCAGGACGCTTAGAAGAGCGGCAAGACTACTTTCTGAATAATTTAAAAGGCAACATATCTCAAGGACAGTGTATAGATGTTAAATCTGTGTAGAAGCCATGGACTGCTCCAAAAGGAAATCTTGACTAGAGAAGCCAGCGTGCATCATCAAAACCAGTCTGATCAACACAAGCTGAAATAAAAAGGAATTTTGCTTTCCTGCATTTGCCAACAAGGTCTTTTTCAAGAAAGTCATTATAACAAACTATCCAGACACAAAGACAGCCAATTGTTCATACTGAACCTCACTGCAAGGAGATAAGGCCTGTTCCCTGCCCTTCAGCCTGTCACCATTTTATCACATCTGTTAGGAACATCTGTAGCTTCACTGTCTTACTTGACACTGTCAAATTCAAGCATAAGTATTTACTCAATTGACCTTGCTGAGAAAAGGGGAGTGCTGGGGAAAAGGCTCCACACACGTTTCTTCAGAAGGGATTCAAAGCACAGGATGTGGACTCACCTGTTCTCCATATTCAACCCACTGCCCTTGGTTGTTCTTCCAATACCAGATCCACTGCGTGGTGAAGGACAGTGTGGGCTTTGAGACTGATGATGCTGTAGAGAGACGTCGAAGTGAAGAAGAACTGCAGGTCATTCTCTGGAAATCAATGTTCTTATCTGCTACTCTGTAAGGACAAATGCAGGTTTATTACAGTTAACAGTGTGTACTTTATTCTCTAGTCCCCAGTTTAAGTTGGTGTAGTTTTCTTTAACATTATGTGACTGCCTGAACTTAATTAGGTCTGAAATAAGAGTCTTTCCCACAGCATGCACGGCAGCTCTGCAAAGTGTTTCCAGTCTTCAGAAGCAAACTATGGCCTGTGAGACCCTGAATGCCATCTCAATCACTAACCAGATGTTGCACTGCCATCTTTACAGACAGTCTGGGGCTACACGTACAACATGGCATAAAAAAATGTAATACAATACAAGAGGTATTTCTGCAACAGATAAGCACAGTTACAATTTTTCACAGTATAAAACGAGAAGTTGGTAAGCACACGACCGAGTTTGCCAGCAAACTCCTCCATCTTATCAACTCTGTTCTTTCTCTGTGGTTACAGAGGATGCAGTCGCAGCTGTGAGTTCTGTAAATAGCATTCATCACTGAAGCCACCTGGGCTCTTACTCCTGGGAGGCTGGAAAAATTACCTCTCAGGCAGAAAGAGTTTGAAAGCAGCCTTCTCTTGGGAATCTGGCTTGTGATTTGCACCATCCAGCAGCCTAGTCAAGCTGCAAATCGAAATCATCCGCTGCCTGAAGCATCATAGGCTGTAACGACTCTACCATTTTAGTGAGGCCAAACTTGTGGTCCCCTGCAAATCCAGGTGGCTTACAGTGGGGCTTTCAGAAAGGAGTTCAAGGAAAAATGCACTTTAAAAAAATCTTAAAAAAAAAAAAATGGGCTGCTTACACCAAAGGCATTTAATAAAATTTCTCTAGGCACATTATAGATATTATTGTATTATGTATATTATAGATATTATGTATGATAATTATGTATTTATTATATATATACTAGCTGTATTAGGAAAGAAATAACCATAGAGAAGGACCAGCTCTGAAGCGTTGTTAAAAGGCCGAATTTAATTATAAATAATGATTCATTATCTGAAATACTACTATTCCAAGCACTAAATTCCACCTGCTTCTTTTTTACTCTGTAGAGTTTTAAATGCAAGATATTGTTGTGTTATTTTTAGAAGACAAAAATTCTTTACTTTTCTTTAAAAAAAAAAATTATTTGTACATCCTCCCAGATTCTGGGAAGCTCAGTAATCCGAAGTTATGGAAGTCAAGACATCTTTAGGAAGAAAACCAGAGTTTCTCCTTAGGGGCTCAACCACAGGACTCTAAGCAAGCAGTCCAGCATCACTATACCTGATGTTTTTTGGGTCACAATAGGCCTTTTCAATCTCCTCCATCATGGAAACGTCATTCCAGTTGACCCCATTATATATTTGCCATCGATATGGCAAATGGTAATGAACAAATTTGCATTTATCTGTAATGAGATCAGACATAGTCAAGAGCTCTACAATCATAACAGAGAGAGTAAGACAAGAAAAAAAAAAAAAAAAAAAAAAAAAAAAAAAAAAGAAACAAACATTTTTTACACTCTGGCTTTATCTCCCAGGCTTTGGCATGACCAATAAAGACAGAGTGCTGAAAATAGAAATATGTCTGAACAATAAGGATGTGTGTTTCTCCAGCCTTATCTGCAAAAACAGCATAAGCTCTCACACTGTCAAATATATTTCAAAGAAACCATGACCTACCCTTTGCTGAGACACGGCGTGGGCAGCTGGGAGAGCAGTGTCACAGATCAGAAGCGTGTGTCTGTGTGTCACACCACCCTGTTTTTCAGCTGTAAAAAGTCAAGGCTACGCACCACGTAAGTGCTCCGATACATTTGGTTCTCTCTTTCCCTTAGTTCCTTAGATCTTGTGGGGCAGTTACCAAGGCCTGAATGTTTTTTTAGGCCTGGCCCAAGAAATGAGGGAGCAGAAGGGACTGCAATACCCCACCAAACGTCCCCCAGGAGGGACCCCCCACTCAGCCCTGGACAGGTAGCACACTGCCCTCCTAACACCACTGCTAGGCACAGTCAGAATTGTTGCTTTGCTTCTCAGAAAACTGGAAGAAACCACTTTTAACTGCCTCACATACAAGACCTGTAGCAGTGGTACATACCCTTCACACAGGAAGAGGAAGACTTTGGGATGTTTTTTTTTTTTTTAAATCATCTATGTTTTCAACACACGTACGACTGCATGTTTGAGTTCAGACCTGTTTTAACACCCCTGCATGTGTGCATGCTGCTGGCTGCAGGAAGAGGCTGACCCCCAGGCCTCCCATTCCAGTACGGACCAAACCTCTTATTTACAATTTTTGAGCCAAACATGGCATGGCAAAGCACGCTAACCCTCCAACCATTACCTAAAGTTTAACTATTTGGTGGTCATGGTACAGCTGCTTTGAGCATAACCTCCACAGCTAGCACATGGGTCCACCATTCACATTATACCGGTCCAAAAGTTCATCAACTTAAGCCTCAACCTGGTCCTAAAGAAGCAGAGTCTGAGAAATGTGATACAAGGCTGGAGTAGCTGCTGCATGGAAGAGGCAAAAGGAGTTTTACCATTCCTGACCCTTGATGTATCTGACCACAGAATATAGAGAGAGTAACCCCAGTTATGGAGACAACACTGTCATTCCTTTCCTCTTCCTTTTTGTTAATAAGGCTGGAGTGCTCCTTGTCTCGAAAGCACTCTGTCTCAAAAGCACTCTGCTTAAATTAACTGGAAAAGCTGTAGACAAAACCACGCTTGGTCTCTCTTGGCCACAAATTTCATTTCTGTGATCCATAAGAGAGATAATTTTTTTTATTTTCAAAGTACTGCCTCTCTTCAAAGTAATGGTTAAGGAGAGGTATTAGAGCAAGGCCTAAAGTAACTCACTCATCCACCTCTCAGAGCTTCTGACCGAACACAAACCCCCTACAGAAATGCTAAATACAAACATCTCGGACCAAACAGTTATTGGGCATCTTACTGTCTACATCCTAAGAAAAAGCAGATGTAGACTGATCTAATTTAAGTGGATCTCCTACTATGACCAGGTGCTCAGAAAAGGAGCAGTTCTTCAGAAAGTGACTGGACAAGTTCACCAAAAGAAAACCTCATGGTACCTCTTCATACCAAGGAAAAGCCTAACCTGGGGGTTGAGCAGTTCTTCAGAGACAGCCCCTGAATACAATTGTTTATAGTTATATTTGTGTTGTCCCCCCAGACCACAGTTATCAGCCACTGCCAGATGGGCTAGATCGATCTTTAGTTTAGCTGGTACAACCACTGCACCTTCTTAAGGCATTTTAACACCCCGGATCACTTTTGAAAAGACTTAATGAGGAGAATATGGCTATTATCATAGGATACTGCAGGAATAAAGGATAACACACTGTTGCCAGCTGTCAATGACAACAGCATGAGGCAGGCTCTTAAATTGATCTGTTAGTTACAGAAAGTGTAACATTGAACACGCAAAGGGTTTCTGCCACAGAAACATACCCAAAGGCTGCCTCCATCAACAGGGCTGAAATAGGCCATAGATGGATCACCCAGAGGAGAAAGGGTTTCAGTGTGTCCACCTGACTTTCCACTGATGATGTTTGCAATTCTGAGAGTGTTTATTAGTGACTTGGGAACAAAGCGATGAGTGAGAAGGCACAACTGCCCCTAGTCTGAGCCACTGAGCAGGGAGTGACAGCGCAGGCACCGCTCTCCAAAGAGAACATGACTTTTTATAAAGCATACCTTTATGTTTGCAGTACCTCCAGATATAGAACACGCATATCTCATCAGACTTATCTTCTTTGTTGTTCTTTGAAGCTCTAGCAAAGGCATCATCTTCTTTAGCTACGGGAAAGAATACATCAATCCTTATTTGCCCTAGCAAAATACAACCCATGCATTTGGCATTTCATCCCAGAAATAACAAGGAGCTGACTGCAGTTGCCAAGTCAAGCACTTCCAGGATCTGACTATCCCCTGTACAGCGTGAGTTCAGGCTTTGTGACTGCCCAATAAACCCCTGCGATGGCAGAAGTCTCAGTGGAGTTGGACAAGGGGGTAACACAGGGTGTGACTGACTGCAGCTGTCATAACGAAGCTGACTTTGTCTCAACACAACGGGTAGAAGGCTGTAGATAATTGGCTACGTCAGCTGAACGGATCAACTGGTGGTATAAATGCTTCTCCCCGAGTTCGCCAGACTAGCATGGGGGGAGTGAATATGGAGCTCAGGCCAGCGCAGGGGTATAAAATCTGAACAACTAACCAAGGTATTTCAAAGAGAGCAACGGGATTGAGCTGGCTTCAACCCACATATTCCTTCCTCCTGCATCGTGACAGCATATTATACAGACCTGTAAGGGGGATCACACTGGGATTGCGATTGAATTGTTACTGCAATCGCTGTATTTTGGGAAGCGTAACTTAACGTTTGTATTTTGTTTTCAGTGTATTTCACATCACTCTGCTACATCAGAAATCTCATTGTACTGGGCCTGGCTACAAGAGAGTTAATTTTCCTCACAGCAGCTCATATGATGCTGTGGTTTAGATTTTGGACTGAAACAACGCTGGCAACACACCGATGGCCCAGCTTTTTCTGAACAGCGTTTGCGCAGCACCAAGGCCTTCTCTGTTTCTCACCCTGCCCGCCTAGTGAATAGACTGAGGCGTGCACAATAGGTTGGGAGGGGACCCAAACGGGCAGAGGACCCAAACTAACTATCTTCAAGGGCTTTTCCAACCAAGATGATTCTGCGAAATCTCAACACTCCTCCACAGGCTGGCTGGCACTACGGCTTTCAGCACACAGCAGGGTCAGCACATAAACTGCACTCTGACTGTAGGGCTGTGTGAAATCAAATCCTAGTGAGAAGCAGCCTGACCTCAAGACTGAAAGGTTAAAACCAATCCATACCTTGGTCTTTACTTTCAGCTCCTGTTGGCAAGCGGTACTGGTTCTGCCCAGGTATGTTGCTACCAGGACCTGCAAAAGAAGACTGAATGAAGAGCACTGCTGGACCAGAACCTCAGCTGGCTGGCAACATCCCAACTTGTGTGTGGAGCATTGTGTCCATCACACACATAATTTTCCACAGGATCTCCACCACTGATAAACAGATCAGCAGTAAGTTACAAATCCCAGCTAGTCGGAGTGATCAGCTGCCATGCACAGCAATTTTGCACACAGTAGTTTATGCAATAGCAATGCAGCTCCCCCTCCCACACGACTCGGCCATGACTTATTCCATCCCTGAAAGCAGATGAAGGGCAGAAGGGAAAAAAAATATGTATATAGGGGAAATAGGAAAGCTGATTCCACATGGAAGGAATTGTTACTTATCTAGATACTTACCTTCTAAAAGTGGCACATGCAGTGTGGGGCCTACTCCACACTGTTCTTTAACCCTTGTATCTGCTGTTTTTTTCCATAAATTTTCTCTTGGTTTGTAGTTGTGTACTGAAAGCACAGAAAGGACAACAGGGTTTAGCTGTGAGGTTAGAAGCTGTCCTTGCCTTACCTCTATCAAACTCTGAATCCTATTTATACCCAGTGTTTCTTACAACTTACTTTTCCCTTTCTTCAGTTCCTTCTTGAATTCCTCATGCCTGTGATCGTATATAGTCTGGATGTTCGAAGCTATGCTCCCACCAATGCCTCCAGTTTCCAACACTCTCAGTGAATGGCCATCCAAGAGGTCATGGGACTTCTTGCACAAAGAAAATCTACATTCCCCTTGGAGGAAGTGTCGACAAATATGAAGCTTGTTGCAGTGGATTTGCTGGATGCAGATATCATCCTTTCTGTTGTAAAACTGACAGGTCTAGAAGTGGAGAGGATAGATACAATAAATAGGAAATGGAAGACCACATTAGAAGCAGGGTTTGGTTTTTTTTCTTTGTTCTACAGTCATGCAACTTTAACAGCAGAAAAATGGTGACTAAAAGGTCACCATTGGTGACTTCATTGTGACTTCCTTAATCCAGGCAGATTTCTTGCACAGAGAAGCAAGCATTTTCAGCTGACTCATGTATTTTTAGTTTTGAAGTTGCACAGAGATTTTTTTTCCAAGAAAAAGAAAAGCCAGTCCAACAAGCATTCATTTTTGGCATTCTAAGCAAGACAGTTGCATAACAACTGACTCTAACAGTTATTCTATTAAAAAAACCCCAAAGAACCACGTAACAAAGAGCAAGTGTCTCCATAAATACATGTATACTGTGTCAAATGAAGTATTATTTCATGGAGCTGAAACTGAATTTGCAGCTCCTATTTGTAAAGCTTATTCTACATTAAAGATTTGGGCATCTAAAAATGATGTGAAGAATGCTTTGAGATTAGAGTATATATGGGAAAAGCAACGCACTTCTTTACTCCTCTGATCACCAAGAGAGATGCGGTGAATTGGACCCAGCGAATAAATCACACACCAAAAACTCCTTCGTATTGCCCACGAAGCACCACAGCAACACTTCTGCTCCTGGAGCACTGAGGAGCAGACCATAACAAGAAAGCTGCTTTGAGGAGGACATGGAGCTGTCAGACAGACAGCCCCAACTGTCACAGATCCCCTCTTATAAGCAAGACAGTTTTTATGCTGTGTTGCAACTGAATACAGACAGATTTATATATCAACTAGGGAACTAAAGATTGCTAGGATGGCAGTGTTTAAAAGATTGAAAAAAAACGGGCCAGTTTCAACTACAAAAAACTCCTTTACTGGATTCATACTAATGATACCCATCGCCAATGGAGAGTTCCTCAGCATTCAGTATCATGTACAGAACAATTAGCCCTCACAAACTTACTCTAAGTTAGGTGGGAGCATACAAAGCCACAGAACTGATGTAATTTCAGTGAGCACTGATGGCTGCTAGCCTCTGAAGGAAGCAGAAACCAAAGGGAGTTGTCTTCTTTCTTCACCATCTTCCCTCTGTCATTGTGGATGCTTTATGCTTTTCTACCCCTAACACCCCAAGGAACACTCTCATTTGCTTCTGGCATCTTATTTTGGGGATCTGAACTTGTTCTGGTTTTGCTTATTCTACTGGATTATTCTGCTTCCATCCCATACCCTTCCTGCCTGCTCTGCAGGCTTTTAATTTTATCATATACTCGCAGATTTTACTTCCACAACTTTTCCCACATCCTGTTTGTGCAACTGTATCACACACAATTTTCCATTTAACCCCTTGCAATTATGGCTATTATTTAGATATTTAAGCTTAGCTGCATCACCAAATGCAATCAGTGGTGTTACAATCCATTGGGTGCCCATGCAAGGTGCTGGCAGCAAGGGTGGCCTCTGTGAGAAGAGGCCAGGAGCTGCCCCACACTGGGCACAGCTGCCTCCAACAGACCCACTGTAGGACACAGTGAGCCCATCAGCCAAGCTGGTGACACCCCTGGGAAAAAGGTACTTAGGAAAGGGAATAATGCTGCAAGGGGAGCAGTGGGCAGAATGGGAGAAAAAGCCCTGCAGACACGGAGGTAAGAATGACGGGGAGGGGGGTTTTCAGGTGCCCAAGCAGAGTTTGCCCTGCAGGGCCACCTACAGCTGTTTGCCCAGGACCATGCCCAGATGGTTTTTGAATATCTCCAAGGGGGGAGACCCCACAACCTCTCTTGGCAATCTGTGCCAGTGCTCAGTCAACTTCCCTGGAAAAAAAACAACCAAAAACATTTCCTGATGTTCAGAGGGAACCTCCTGTGTTTTGGTTTGTGCCCATCTGAAGTGCTATGGCTTGGACAACAGGTCCAAGCCAGAGTTGACCTATAGATGAATCCTGTATATTTTATGACTGATAACCATTGTGCTAGTAGGTATTGTACGAGGTTATAACAAACCACCTATGCTGATGTAAAAGGTGGTAAAGCACTGAAATACTGAAGCCTGAACAACAGGCCCCAAGACAAAGCTGCTAACTTAGTATGTAGTCGTTAGTGAAATATGTACGCTTGTTAATGAAAGATGTAGCTTAGATATCATAAAACGTGTCTATCCTGAACCTATCTTTATCCTCCTTTGTGTAGGGGCAAGTCTGGCTTTGGGACCAGATGTATGATCTTGCTCATAAATAAAGTAGAGAAGCAGGGAAACTCCCTCGGCTTCCTCCTTGAGCCCTGGCCAGGCTCTGGGGGAATCTAATCTGAGAGTGAAACCAGATGTTTCTGCTCAAAACAAAGGTGCCAGTTATTCTGGCTTGCTGATTTTTGGGTATGTAAGGCTGGACTCACTTGCAGTAACTCTGGAAGCCTCACCTCTGGGTGGATGCACCGCGTAGGATTTCCCGCTTGCCAGGACAGGTTCTCCAAATCCTCGCTGTGACTGGGGCTGCCCAGCGACTGTGGGTCTGGATGATGGTAAAGTTTGCAAGTGGTGAGGGATCTTTTCTTAATCACTATTCTCTCTCTCTCAGGTAGTAATGATTTGGTGCATTACCCTGTATTTTCCTGTTTGTTGCTTTGGGTGCACTATTCTGCCTTTTCTTACTGCATGTTTTCTGTATTACACTGTGACATGATTTGGTTACCACCAGTAAAATCCGCCTACTCTTTTCCTCTGGTGTCTGAGTTTAATTGGTATCCTTAATCAGCAAAACATCATCACCTCTAGTCCTGGGCACCACTGAAAAGAGCCTGACTGTGTCCTCTTTACACCCTCCCCCTCAGGAGTTTGTAAACACTGATGAGATGCCCCTGAGTCTTCTCTCCTCGAGGCTAAAAAGACCCAGCCCTCTCAGCCTATCCTCATGCAAGAGATGCTCCAGTCCCATCACCACCTTAGTGGTGCTGCACTGAACTCCTCTTCCAGCAGCTCCATCACTCTCTCGTACTGGGAAAATAAATTTTGGAAAATGAATTTTTGACCATTCACAGCTTCTGTTGTGGGCTGCTGTGGAAGATACTATAATGAGGAGGTAGCAACTTCTAGCAAATCTATGCAGTTTACCTGTAGGTTGCAGAGGCCCACACATTATCATTAGCGACAGCCACATGACAGCACGTACCATCAGCACGGACTGCCTGTAACAATACAACCTGCAGGTACTGTCGGCAAGAGTTGTTCCTATAGAGATGCACAAGAACATAATGCTCTCAGTGAACCTCAGTGTACCATGTATGAAAACCAATAGGTCTGGCGGGTTTTGGGGGAATGTGTGCCCTGAAAAACGCTATAAAGATATGAAGAACAGCAAGGATGCTGAACCTCCCCACAGAAAGTAATTCTGCATAGCAAGCCATGGGCTACCAGAGAGATCTGTCTGATGTTGGACTGGTGTGGGTTCCCATGACATCAGAAGGGACACATAAGATTTCTTCTCATTATAACCTTTAGTAGTAACCAGCTATTTATCTTAAGCATCACGTGCCTTTCCTAGTCAGATCCAAGAGCACCAGCGCCTGCCAACACAAAGCAGTTATTCACCTAACCAGAATCTTGGGTAAGCCACTTGTTTTTTCTCTCCCTTTATTTTCCCAACTTTGTCCGAGGAGAATGCAGCAAGGCTTATCATCTACAGAGCACTCCAAGATCTATGCATCAAGAACATATTCAAGTGCTAGGTAATAACAGTCACTAAAGAACTCAAATCTTACACCCTTGCCAAGGGATGGTCTTCCTCAGTTGAAAAATGTTGCTGTTCTGGGGGCCTGATACCACTCAAAGTGTTATCTCCATCTAAAACGTACATGCCTCACCTGAGTGCCTACCGAAGAAGAAAAGTAAGTTAAGGCTTTAAACATGCAATTTGTTTTTCTACCCCTAGATAACTAGTCATGTTCCTGACTTGGAAACAGTTAGTCCAACATCCCCCAGAGACAGATAATCAAGCAGAGGACTCTGATATGAAATTAGTGGTTCATAGGAATAATACAGTTCTCTGAATGCTCCTAGAAAAACTTAAAATCACTGCTTCCTTAATAGGTCTTACCCCAACCCAATCTTCCCCCCTTAACTTCAATATCCTCTCCTTTCTATAAACTTTCTCCTCCAGGAATACTGCTAATCAAAACCAGAAGCAGAGAGACCAGCCTGTCAAACAGCCTGAAGCTGGTTTAAGAATCACAAAAAAGAAAAAAGCCAAGACCTATGTCAGACACAGGTTTTGGGGGCTATTTGGGGGCCAGGAATTGTTTTCGTGCTTGCATCTTCCTGCTCAAGAGAGCAGGGAAAAAAAGGTGCAACTAAAGTACGCTCTCTCAGCTTTTACCTGATTGCATCAAAAACATTTTGTACGATGCACAAAAGGATTTAAGGACACTGAATCTGGTTGAGAGCGAGCTTGAAGAGCATTGAGAAGATGCATTAAAAGATGATGTTAGTATGCAAGACAAAATTTTTAAGTGGGAGCATCAGAATAAACTACCAAACCTGAACAAAGTGCTGCCTCAACTAAAAATCCACTATTTAGCTACATGAAGAAAGCACACTGCACTTTGCCTTCACCAAGAAACTAAAAAAAGAAGAATTAGAGAGAAGGGAAAGTGTGAAAACCTCTGATTTTAGGGTGCTGTTGTGTTTTTCTCACCCTGCACCCCAGTTCAGATCACAGATCAAAGTTTCCTCTTTCTCAAGAGCTTCATACAGGCCAATTGTCAGCATTTCAATGCAAGAAACCATCAAGGAAGCTTTCCCATCCCTCTCCCAGCTCTCAGGTTTATAAATGGCCTTCATTGATCACTGCTTTCTGTTGTTTCTGCTATTTTAGTCCAGAACAGGAGTTAAGGTGCTCAATTAGAGGTAATTAGAGATGCCTGCTAGCAGTGAGGTCTGAACAGATCTATCAATCGATGGTTGCTACTATCTCATTACTGGGGGTAATTAGACAAGAAACACTTAAGTTTTAGATGCAGCTGAGTGAGACAAAGATATTAATCCTCCTTGCTCATCACCAGCATATTCCTTGAATCTGCCAGCACAACATATTTTAAAACACTACAAAAAAAAAAAAATTGTCAAAGCCCAGCACTGTCACAGTGGGGAATAAGAAAACAGAACTGTTACGCCAACAGATTGTTGGAGATTATAACTTCCAACAGACAAGGGAAATGGGCAGTACTCTGGTAATTTCTTAAGCAGGAACAGCTGTAGCCAGAACAGGGTACTCTTGGCTTTGAAACAGCCACACCTTGAAGATAGCACTGCCCTCATACACATGTGCAGAAGCTGAATGGATTGATCAGCCAAATTTAACAAAATCAATGACTTGCACACTAAACTGGACAAAGGTTGTCTCGTAGAAAATCAATGTACCAAAACTCAGCGCACTTTGGAAAGGGCAGATTTTACAAAACCTGACGGCAGTCATTTGGTCATTTTCTCAAAGAATTTTCTTACTCCCCTACACCCTCAAGCACCAAAATGTGCAAGCCTACTGCTCTGGTTTCGGCTGGGATAGAGTTAATTTTCTTCCTAGTAGCTGGAACAGTGCTCTGTTTTGGATTTACTGTGAAAATAATGTGATAACACGCTGATGTTTTAGTTGTTGCTAAGAAGCACTCAGGATTAAGTCAAGGACTTTTCAGTTTCTCATGCTTTTCCAGCAAGGAGGAGTGCAAGCTGGAAGCATGGCCGGACTGCTGACCCCAACTAGCCAAAGGGCTACAGAATGTCCTGCTCTGTATAGATACAGGGTGGGGTGGGGGGAAAGTTGGCTGGGAGGGGCCAATCCCTGCTCAGGCATCAGTCAGCGGGTGGGGAGCAATTGCACTGTGAATCACTTATCTTTTCTTGGGTTTTATTTCCCTCTCTTTCCGATACATTCCTTTTCATTATTATTATATTTTATTTCCATTTTATTGATTTTATTTCAGTTATTAAACTGTTCATATCTCAGGTGTTTTACTCCCCCCCCATCCCACTGGGGCAGTGGGGAGGAGTGAGCAAGTGCTGCATCGGGCTTAGTTGCCAGCTGGGGTTAAACCACAACACGTAGGTAGGCTGAAAAAGGAAAGGGGCCCTCACTTCCTAGTCTTCATCATCACTTGAACAAGAGCCAACAAATTTGGGTTTGGTCAGGCCTTTTATCCTGTAAGCATGTAGATCAGTTGTGATCTTTCACCTCTGTCTTGCTTACTTCACCATCTGTAAATCTTTGGTGAAGTTGCTGATTATTTTTTTTGTTTGCTTGTTTTGAGTAACTTTATGGCTATGCTGTTGGGATAACAGGGATGGCCAACAAAACAGGCTGCAGCCTCGAGGTCTGCTTCCTGCAGCTCTTCTCTTGACACCTTATTGGTGCAAGCAGTCTGGTATTTATGTAACACATCCCTCTGTGTTTAACAGTTTCATTGCTGATCGTTTTTTGGGGGGGGGGGTTTTGTTGTTGTTGTAAGCACTTTCACAGCCCTGGCTCTGTATTTCTTCTGCTGCTTTCCCACACAGCCACTGCCATTCATAATCCATTCAGACTAGTCAATAATAGTTACATATCTTAACAGCTTGAAATTGAGATCAGAACTCCACATTTTCTCTTACCCTCTCCCATTCCTAATTAACAAAAGCTTCTTTTAAGAAATCAGTACAACTCACATCAGGGAGGAGGAAAGGGTCATTCTGGAGAAGGAGGACTCGCAGCTCATTCTCATCAAGACCAGACAACTCGTGGGCCTTTAGAACTTTTTTGTTCTCAGGGCTGAAGATGTCATGCGAGTACTTGCAAGACCTGCAAGAAAACACACAGAAATACCAGTGTTTACTTCTTCAGTCAAGCGGATTTAAAGAACCTCAGATTCCATGGCTTTTCCCAAGTTGCATGATGAGAAAGCTAGTTTGCCAAAAGTCTCTGTGAACATTTAGATGGTCTCTGTAATTAGCTAGAAAATTGACCAAACGTGTTCTGTGACATACAGTAGCATTATTATCCCCAATTTAAAATGTGGCCAGACTTTTAAGAAATCTAGCAGAACAGATCTGAAGCCAAGTCTGTCTACCCCACACTTTCCTCCTCCAGTAAGAAGCAAGTCAATTCACAGGACCCGAACAGTTGGAGGTGAAACTAATTTTAGAGCAATGCATCAACAATGGTGGAAGTTGCAACACCCTTGATTTTGTGAATGTAAAAGGTTGTTGTCCATGTAAAGAAAGATGCAAGAGTCTGAGAGAGCAAACCAAAGAGATAATGAAGCTGAAAACACCACTGTTTATCATCTTTGCTGGTTGGGAACTTAAACAAAACAAAACAAAAAAAACCCAACCAAGAAAGTTCATTAACTTGTGGGTTTTGGTAAAGAAGCAGTTAATGACAATAACGAAGATGTTGGTGACACTAACCCAAGAGAAACAGCTGAAGTGAGTATGAAACAAAGATAGGGATATTTTTTTTAATCTATTTGAAAAGATACTACAAATCATCAATAAGAGGAGAAATGCAGTTAACCTGCGCATTAATTCACTGCAGTAAAATACAGTTTCCTTATGGCTTGCTCTTCAAAGGCATGATTTGATAGAGCCTTAAGACTAGACATAACCAATAAAAGCACCTGTTAATCTATCAGACTCTAGCCTCTGTTCTCTTTATGCATTTAGCCTCTAGTTAACTCTTGAAACTCTCCTTGTGAAAGCTTTTTTACCTCATGCTGTGTCTGAATCCAATCCTTCTGTACAGAGCCTTGGGGAGAGCTTTCGGCCCTGACCCCCGCTGCCTGTTGGACACAGTGCTTTGGAAGCAAATAAGCAAGAAAGCGAAGTCTGCAGGGCAGAAATGTGCCATCTTTGGTGCTGAGAAGCGATCTTCTAAGGGTATTAGATTCTGTAGGCACTCAGTTACTGGCTATGAAGGTAGGTGAGCTACGGAGTAGTCAAGGTGGGAACCATCACCAGCGTTCCTCCACAGTTAACTTCAGATTCCACCGACAGTCTTAGTGATCTACATCACTTGAGTACATATTTCTAAGTCAAAGGCTGAAACGATCCATAAATACAATGATAACTCATCAGCTGAGTTTAATAACACATTTAGAAAAAAAAGTTAATTGCCAGACAAGTTAAAAATGGGTTTAACTGCACTAAAATCCTGAATAGGAAGACCCCAGTAAGTTGCACGGGCATTTTTCTTGCCAGAAATTCTTTTTAAACCAAAAACGTTGCAAGATGTGGAAGCAAAGATAGATTTTACCTTATCAGTCAAAAACTGCTCTCTGCCTTGAAGCATGTGGTCCACCTAGCAGTATTTCTGCCCTCTCATTTTAATCAGCTTCCCTCCCACGAAAGGCATACTCTTTTATTATTTATTACTACCTACAAAGGTGATTTTAAACACTCAGTGCCATTGAGAGGAGCGAATGGCTTATCATTACAAAGGGAATCGCCTCACTGCACATTTTAACTCACACACAGTCACCCAGCACAAGTGCCTACATGCACCTGAAGGTATTTCTAACAGCGAATCACACGGAAGCTTATCAGTAAAGCGAGAAACAGCAAGAAAATCTTAGCAACCTGATACTTTGCTAGTACCCTTCTGAGACAGACACGGCCTTTCCCCTCCATGCTCTTCAGATCCGAGCGCACAGCGAGCAGTTTTGCTGGGGCAAAGAGGAAAAACCTGGTGGGATATCAGCATGTCACTAACACTGCAACGGCGCAGGACCTGGGGCTTGGGGGCTTAAACTTCAAATTCTTCCATCTGAGTTCACAGCTGCCATTTATTGCCACTGAAAAGCTTCTGGTTTTCACTTCCGCCCTTTAGTTTCTTTTCTCATTGTACTGACGTACATGAGAAATCAAACACCACTTCTCACAGAAAGAGCTGTAGCTGACTTAAGACTAAACCTTCATCACTTTCTAGATTAAAACCATAACATTCTACTAGCACTTTGCGTTTTTCTTATTAAGAGAAATATTTGTAAACTATTTCATCCAGGGGGCTGAGGGACGGGTGTGGCAGGCAAAGCGGCTTTAATGGAAAGAAAAAAAAAAAAAAAAAAAAAAAA